CGGTGCTCAGCATACCCATTACACCAGGCCTTCATCCAGTGCAGCATTTTCACCTTTTCGAGCTAGTAGCTAGCTAGACGGAACAGTGTGGCCATCAACTTGGGCGGGTCAACTTCTGCTCTTCTCCGCCCACATTTGAGCCTGTCCCTTGCTGGACGGTGAAGCAATTACAGCCACATACGCCCGTCGTGACATCAAAATTTCCCATTGGTGATATTAATATTACAAATTGCTCGAGCCAAACACGCTTGTTATCTTCAACATCAATGGTGAATATTATTGTTAGCGCATTTTTAATAATGTCTCCTGAGGTATCGAGTTGTTCCCGAGAAAGCGCTCACTCATTCCGATGGAATATGATGCGAAGGCTGTCATTTTGATCTCATTATTAAAGACTGATAGAAGACCCTAATAGCTCTTGAACGCACTTTTTATCCCATTAGACTCTGCAGCATACGGTGCCTTTTTCGGTGGAGGCATGTTCATTAAACTTTCCGTTCCTGGAAAAACACTGAATACCAAATCCCTGGTGAGTAGGCGAAGCGCATATAGTTTAAATTATTCGAAATCGCCCATTCAGGCGGATTAGGTCTTCCATCTCTCCAGGATTAATTAACTGGGACCAGGTTTATCCAGAAGGATAACAACACTGCATTGCACATTGGCTGCTCAACGCAAATCATTACATAGGTCAGATTGCGGCGCAGTTCTGCTTGGGAGGGGGCACTTCGGACTCTCGCTGCTTCCCACTCTCGTGTTCATTGCTTTACAAGAGCTGACAGGTATTCTTAACAAGAGTTGACAAGTAGTCTTCACAGACTTTGACAGGTGATTTTGATTTCATCAGAGTGCGAAATGCCCCCCCCCCCCGTCGCAGAACTGCGCTTAAATGGCTTCCACCTGCGATTCTCATTCCCAGCGAAGCCTAGTCTGTTGCTCCAGAGCTTATTTTTCGGCATATCATATTGAATACCATTAGGTTCCTTTGAGGTGAGATTATTTGCTTTCAGCTCTACTGTTTGGACTTAAAACGCGCACAACAATCTAGCATGCCTGTCACTTACTTCACTCCCAAAAACCAATTAGAGCGATCTCTGGAAAACTTCCCACCGCCGAAAAACAACTCTGGAAATAAGGTTACCGACCATTGTGTACCCAGAATCACACTGAGCCACAGGGCCATAAAACCTCCAGGAACGGGGCTCAGTCTACAACCGCTGGGGAATTTCGTTGGAATCTAACTAAATTTCGACAATTGGGATAGTGAAAGATGAATAGTGCCGTCCCTTCATCAGCTCCTTCACGGCATTACGCTTTAGCCTGACCCATATAGCCTTTCATCCATCGGAGCCAAGCCTTGAAGCACTTTGAAATCTGATAGCTTCTGAAGGGCAAGTATCAATGTTTAGCTCTGGGGCTGATCTCTGGTGCCAGCGATGGTGCTCTCCACTTCATTCATGCTAGACATCACAAGCGCATGCAATGTTCAGAGCGACTCGCCGTGTCGTCGGCTAAAAACAGCTGGGAAAGGGCATCCGGGCAGATGGAAGTGGAAAAGCTCTCATCGAATCACAGATGAAGATATCATGCGTGTGGTATTAGAGGAAAAACAAAACAAAGAACGTGCATATCCAATCCAAAAGGGCAAAATATTAAGTGGATTCGATTTCATTAGTGGCAATTCATTTCTTTATCGATTCCTTTTGGAAATTCCTTTTATTAGGATACGGTAACATGGGAAAATCCCATTGAATGGGAAGTTCTTCGGAGCGTTTCTTGGAAAACACCGTAAATGTTTTATAATCGCCAGCTAGTGTAAATAATTAAAGTGGGGTTTGACAAGGGCGGGACCACAGGGTGGGTGTGGGTTCTGGCACATATGTTCTTCGGTCAGCCAGACCCTTCATCATTTTGAAGTGGGTGAATTGGTATGAGGGTTCATTAGAAAGGTAATAACAGAGATTTTGGCTAAACACCGTTATACTGAGCCAAATCACATTCAATGCCTTACAAAGGAAGTAGGAACGCCGTGGCCGCATCCAGAACAGCGGATGTAAATTGAAGCTTGCAGCAGTCAAGCATCGATCTCCAACATAGCCTGATGGACATTCTCTGAGCCTAAAGGCCAGCAGACGCTCACCCGCTAGGAGATTTCGCAGGCTCAAAGGAGACTTTCGTGGGCATATGCTCAAGATGAGCGAACAGCATTTGTTTCAGCACGAAACCCTCGGAATCATGGTCATCCTGAAACATCACTAATGAAAAGGCGTTTCTCTGGCTGAATCCAAATAAACTACTTTAATCGGAATAACTCAAGCCTTGTAGCAGCTGCCTGAATCCCAGATCTCATCCCATAGGAATCCCAGAGGTCAAAAAAGGGGCGTTATCCGAGCAACCTGAGTTAACATGGGACCTTAAAGCATAGACTGGCATCAAAAAACCATTCAACGTGAATCAGAAGATTTAAAAGTACCAAAAAATCATACATTTTCCCCATACTCCGTCAGCGGTCCGGTCAGCCTCCAGTATTACGGTATGTTTCTATTATGGGGGTCTATTGTTTCTTTTATAGGGGTCTCACACCTTGGAGGAGATGAGGTCTCGACCCCTCGGATGGAGCTTTAGCCTTGCTTTCCTCTGTAAAATTTTCGGTTCCCATCAGACTTCCGGTGATATTGTGACAAATGAGTGAGAAACCTACCTCTCCACAGCCGGCGGTAACAAAGGTTCCTCCTCCTCCTCCTGTTTGTATGTGGGCAGGAACTCGTTTCCTCCAACACGTACGATACGAAATACATAGTCAAGCATCGCTCCGGTCCCAACGGCAGATGTGCGTTTTCGAAGGCGTGGCAGCGCCTTCTCTTAAAATAGAAATTCAATTTAATTAAATTATTGTCATGGTGGCTTCAGCTATGTTGATATCAAACAAACCTTTTCCTGGTCCGCTCCAAAGTGGGGGATCAAGGCGATGGGTGGGAGCTAAGCCAGATTCCAAGGTGGCCAGGAAGACGAGTGAATGTTGACCGGCGGACATTTGTAGTGGAGGACATTGAACCCCGTCACAGTTCACCAAAGTAAGTGACGACGGCGAAGATTCATCTGATACGGTAGCTTTTCATAGGTTGCCCAAATGAGTGAGACTCCTTTGAACTGACCTCTCTGGTGCAGATGGAATGTAGATGATATCCTCCATATTCACGATGAGAGCCTTGCTTCCATAACCACTGTTGTTCGGCCTCTTTACCAGAAGCGGATGACGGCTGTGAACTGAAGAACCAAGGTAATCGAGTGTCGTGAAGGCGCTAGTGGGGCACAGGCACATGATCTTGTACTTTGCGTGCTAAGGGGTAGATGACGTGTCAATGACGTCACATATCATGTTAATCACCTGTATGGCGACGTCATTAAAAAGCAAACATACAGGCTTTCTTCTTCATTAACTTGCTATGTGAAGCGTCATCTCATTAAAGTGCTTAATGAATCGTCATCCCCTGTCTTAACCCATAAAAAGTCTGTGCTACACCGAGTCATTATGAGTTCCAACTGAGCAAACCTGGCGTGCATCAGCTGATTCGGAGTCCATCTCAGTGACAGCTCTCCCTCGTAGCTCTTATGCAGAGATAAATAACCTGGAATACGATCTAAAACAACTCCTCACAACCATCCATAAACTCTACCTAACTGCTACTTTGGGAACACATCCTATGCAACGTTTGGGCGGGGACTGTCAACCATGGCACATTCCTCAACGGCATGATCCTCGTTCTAAGGCGGTAGCTCAGATGGGCGCGCCAACGAGGAACGTTATCTAGTTGACTGTCACGAGCCATGCCCACCCATACGAATAGCGGGCGTGAGCCCTCAACAGGTGAGGAATAAGTGTGACGCGAATAGTTTACTCACCTTTAACGGGTGGCTGATCACCATTAGCCACACAGACATTATTTTTGCCATAGAGTAGACTGGATTTGAAGTTGTGATGGAGGGAGTAGACGAAATCTCTGCTCAGAGAACTGTTATCTGTGCTGACGATGCTGCTTCCACGGCGAGTTGTCTGAAAACGTCCTTTTTCTTTTCAAGTGCACGCACAGTCCCTTTAGAAAGTTAAAAAAAAAAAAAACTTTACTGTTCAGCACACTATCTCACTGGAGAGGGTGTGAAAAGAACCAGTTGATAAAAGAGAATGAGCGGAAAGGAGCGCGGTCATTATCCTGGAAACTAAGCTGTGGTTAGCTGCATGCTAGCATCGATTGTACGCGCAGAATCAAGAGCTCTTCTAAAGCGCATAGTTGACTTGAAAAGCGTGATACTGATAAGTTCTCGAAGGCAAACTGCGGCGCTTACACCCTCCATCAGCATTCTGGCCCTACAACTGTAATGGGGCTGAATGGGTCTGCAGCTGCAGTAGGCTGTCAGTCTTCCCGACCAAAAGTGGACTGATACGAGGCTGGAGGGTGTTCGTTACCCTCTGCCGTTTCTGAACATCGCCCCCACGCTTGCCGCATGGCCGATCGCAGCTCAACCATAACCGAACGCGCTACTTGTCTGCGCCCTCGGTTGTTCACTGTCTCTGAATGCGTGACTCTGCGTAATCTCGCAAGTGCTTCACCGTGAAGTGGACAGTTTCAAACGGTACTCTCCAGCCTTCTGTAATGACGAAAGTTAACTGTACAGTTGGCATTAAGTGTAACACGTTTGGGAGCTCCCCCCGCCTCAACCACCAACAGCGCTAAGAACGGACGATAATAAAACAACAGCAAAGGGGCTAATGCCGTTTGGACTCCAGAAATTTCGTCTTCGAGCTCATTTTAAAAGTGGCAAGATCACCAAATCCGCTAAAAACTTGTATATAGGGGTAATTCAACATCCTGATCACGAATATGACATTCATTTTTGGCGCCAAGAAAGGATCAACTACGATCACCTTCTGGGCTCAGCCTTAGCAGAGCGCAGGTAAAACCGTAGTGTCATCCATTAGCGCCAGCGCCAAAAATGAATGTCATACTCGTAATCAGGATGTTGAATTATCCCTATATACAAGTTTTTAGTGGATTCGGTGACTTAGAAATTTTGAAAATGAGCTCGAAAACGAAATTTCTGAAGTCCAAGCGGCATTAGCCCAGCAAAGGTGCTGGAAAAAAACTACGATGTGGGAGGATAATTTCGTAGAAAAATTGATTTTCTATTTGTTAAATGCACTCAGCAATGATGAAGGCCCCGCTCAGAAGTTCAGCCTAACGGCATCAATCACCTCTTGCGTTGCCGCTGTAGAGACTACGACGAAATTGCAATATTTGAAAGCCCGGGAGGCGGCTCCGTCGGTGTTACATCCCCCTTATCGAGTCTAGTACTGAACAAGCAAGCTTCCCCTTTTCCCAGGTCCGGGTTAGTTGGCTCCAAGCCTCTCGATGGGAGGGTGAAGGGTGCCTGTTACGAAGAGCTTGGCCGTGAACTGGACTGAATTTAGCCATGATTAATCTGCTCAAGTGGTTTCGCGTCTATAATGTGATTGGACTGCTGCGAGCGAAATGTGAAAAATGACTTCAAGCGGATAATTGGAGATGTATCTTGCGGCTGGGTGCTCTCGTTCATTTTTTTCTGTGGTGGTAAGAAAACTTAGGCTGCGTTTATACTTTGCGGCAGCGTAGCGTAGCGTAGCGCAGCGTAGCGTAGCGCTTCCAGCGTACGCCAGCGGCAGTGCCGAAGAGAGGATGCATATCGATCTAGCTTCACCAGCGTCACCAGCGGCACGCTAGCGTACGCTAGCGGCACGCTAGCGTACGCCAGCGTTTCTCCAGCGTTTCACCAGCGTTTTGCTAGCGTTTGCAGCGGCAGGGAAGTAGAGACTATGGGAGAGCTGGAGGGTACAAAGCACATCGATTGCGCGTATCTCACTCGCCCTTAGTCTCTACAATGCACATCGCTTCTGCGTCTTCGACGGCCCCTTAGTCTCTACAATGCACATCGCTTCTGCGTCTTCGCGGCCCCATAGTCTCTACAATGCACATCGCTTCTGCGTCTTCGACGGCCCCATAGTCTCTACAATACGCGTCGATTCCGCGTCTCTGCCTGCCACATAGTCTCTACTCCCCTGCCGCTGCAAACGCTAGCAAAACGCTGGTGAAACGCTGGAGAAACGCTGGCGTACGCTAGCGTGCCGCTAGGTATGGCAGGCGTACGCTAGCGTGCCGCTGGTGACGCTGGTGAAGCTAGATCGATATGCATCCTCTCTTCGGCACTGCCGCTGGCGTACGCTGGAAGCGCTACGCTACGCTGCGCTACGCTACGCTACGCTGCCGCAAAGTATAAACGCAGCCTTACCAGCCGCGTGCTGGCTGGAGCAATACAGGTCCGCTCACCGCGCGCTGCCAAGTCTCGGGTAGAGCCGAGCGACCCTGCCTGGAGCAATCGGATCTTTGGGGTCCGGTTGTATGCGTATCGCTGGTATGGGATGGCTTGAAGATACCTGACTTTGAACACTGGCCTACCCGCTCAAACTCGTCGTAGTCTGGCCTTCACAGGCGAGTCGCGCTCAAATGCCTTTTACGATGCAATGGAAGCTCAGACATACGTGGCCGCGCAATCCGAAGAAGAAGTGACTAGCACTGACCACTAGCAGCTACTTTGAAAACAAATTCCCATGAAGAGGCTATTAATTCACCTCAACTCAATTCTCCTAGTTGTAACGTTCGGGTTTGCGATGCAGAAATTGAGTCCGGGAAGAGAAGGGTAATTTCAGCGTTTTTATGAAGAAATGTGAAAATGTCACCAAATGGAAATGGAATGAAATGGAATTGAAACGAAAAATGAATGAAAAAAGAAGACGGAAGGTTTCCAAATTTGGGCATTGAACATTCTAGGTTTTCGCTTCAATATAATCCTTTCTCTACAGGATTTACCGTTTTGAAAAAGTTTCCTTGTTTTGTCTATGGCAGCCTTCCACCATAATTGCATCCAAATCCACACCAGAGCAGTGAAATATGGTCACGAAGGCGGATTCCGTTAAGCTCTTGCTGTTTTCTATTTCTCAAGAGAGTTTGTATTTAGGTTGGCGGGAAAGTTCTTGTCACAATTTTTGTTCAACAAGGCTTTCTTTCTTATAGAGCAGGTCGACAATGATCAAAATTATCCCAGCAATGTCATTGGGAATCCCTGCCAGTTTTCGAGCACTTCGTGGATGCCATCGCTTCACAATGGAGGCTGGCACGACGCAATGTTGGACATCATCTCAACTTTGACTTGGGCTCAAGTCGTGGAGGTTTTCTCGGCTGTGCAACGGTTGAATACAGGAGTTGACTAGCAGCCAGAAAGAGCAATGTCTGGACTACATCATTGCAAGGGGAGAGCCATCCAGCTCCATTGCATGAAGTACGGCTCGAACTTTTTTTGACGGTGTGCTGCACCAGCACGTTGAAGACGGACTGTGCCGATGGATTTTGCCCTCTGCTTGACGATTCGCTTCAGATCTCGTAGCTGCCTTGCGTACGGATTAACCGAGGAGACAGCTTCTTTATACAGTAGTTTCCCGGCCCACAGCTATCTCAAGCTGAGATCACAGGTACTCCCAAACATCACTTCGCCATTCGCACCGTAGCCTCCCGCTCTGAAGAGCCAGCGTCGTGGAAGATTGTCAGATGACTGTAGACATTGTCCATGTGCAGCTCCGTTATTTCGGCGTCGACAGCTGTCATGCTGGCGCCAGGGCGGTAGAAGAAAGAGAGTTTGAGGAAGCACTTGGAGGGGTCGGTGCCAAAGGTAGCGGATAACATTCTTGTTCATATTGCACGATAAGGAGAGGCAGGAGTCAAGCCAGTGATACCAATAGAAAGACCATTCTTTGATGTATAAGTGCTCATATTACCGGTTAACGCTTTTCAGAAAATTAGCAAATATTTTGGGTTCAAAAATATATGACAGAACTTTCCGCACCTAATAGTTAGCTGAATTGAGCATACACTGCGAATACAATGTTGACTAACGAAGCAGTAGAGGAATTTTGTATGGGTACGATAGGCGCTTATGAAGCAGAGGTAGGCGGTCCGATACATTACCTGTTAAGAGGTAGATGACGTCACTCAACACGTTAAAGATGCCATTAGCAATGATACAGTGCGGGTTTCCCTGTTATTAACTAGTTATGTGACACGTCATCTCTTGACCTCTTCATAGGCAGCGGACCTTTGGTACACCTGGCCCTATAACCTCGATACGGCTTCAAATAAACTTACAGTAATGGTGGACGAGATGAACTGCTTGGACGACATCCACGAACAAGTTCTTCGGCTGTTCGCTCCCGAAAGTCAGACATGCGACGATAAGTGGCTGCGCATGGACCCACTGCAACCAGAGATATTAGTTCTCTATATATCGCCGAAATGGACCGATGCAAACTCAAGAAATTATTTTCAGTAAATCCATAAACTGTCAGCCCCCCCCCCTAATTCCAAAGGAATTATGATTTATCAGTCTCAATAATGATTGGTTCAGCTGCGAAATGCTGGGTGGCTTGCGATTTGATTGAATAGTTAAATCATTTTTATGGGGCGAAGGAATACGAAGTGCTTTGAGAATGCTTCAACGTGATTGCTAAGTGGCGAAAAGCTGAAGTGTAATTGAGTTGAATGTTTTTGAATGAGGCGCATTTAGAGGGGGCGCAAACGGAAGAAAAACCATCGCGGCAGGTTTTCATGTTCAATTCGGACAACAGGCGGACTGAGAAGTCTTTGAGGGCCTAGGACTACGACATGCGGTGATTCTGAGAGCTCTGACATTAAATGCAAATTATGTGCCACATGCCAATGAGCGAGAGCCTCCCGGGCATACATCGAATTGGCTAGAGAGGTTGAAGAGGAAGCTGGAATTGAGCAGAGACGCAGCTCCACGATAAGCTCAGGCAATGAGCCATAAATGAGAGCTGGACATTAGGCTAAATAGACACACACCAACCACCCACACAACCAACAGGGAAAATCGGGCAGAAATTAGCCAGAGCCTCCATTAATCCACATCAAATAGACCGACTGAAGTTGTCGGGCTCTGTTGTGCATGGCTCGCTAAGCCATGAATAATTGAGAAGTGACTAGCTCTGAAGCGACAACCGACTCCTTCATCACAACAACAGTCAGCTTCAGAATTCCGTTTAGTTGATGATTGTGAAGAATTGTTCTTCGGAGAGCTGCTTGAAGCGGTTCTCGTGGGACTAGCGCTGGGCTATTATCGAGTATTCATTCGAAAGCTGTCCAGTAAGAGAGGTAAACAGAGAGAAAAGTCAGTGAAACAACGGGTAGCGCTAGGAAAGCCATGAATGGCAAATTAGGCTGTTATTTCAGCTAACGACTGCTGCTTGTTTAAGGCTAAAAAAAGTAGGAAAACTAATTTGATCAAAGAACGCTCAAACATTTGTATGCCTTCTGTTGGTTCGAGGAAGTTCCTGAGATTGATGGAAATCTAAACTTCAAATTTCAGCCAAATGAATAGAAAGCGATTCCGGCCACCTGTCTCAGCTCATGAAAGGGCTATAAGAGGATAGAACTTGACGTCAATTAATCTTAGGTCTGAGATGCGCCACGTCCTTTCACTTCGTTCAGAATCCCAGTGGCTTTTGAAAGTGATTTGACCCAAACAGTAGTTTTGGCTCGGTTAACCATTGCAGAAGTCAGTTAAGTCAAAAATTCCGAGTTAGGGCAAAACTCGAGCCGCCTCATCACATAAAAATATGTGACCGCTGCGAGGCTAGTCGCAATAAACATTAAACGCGAGGCGGAGAAGCGCCTGCGTTGTTGTCGATAAGCTGCTGGCTCTGGTAAGGATTTAGGTGCAGGTAAGAGTTCTGCCTGAGGTCAGGAGTTTTGTCCAGGAATTTAGCATTTTTTTTAGAAAGTTTAGGTGCATGAACTACGAACAGCAGTGATCTAAAACAAGTTCAGGAGCCTTGCTGGTGTTTTTGTCTTCCCGGATGAGGCGACCTTTACGTATGGAAAGCTTAGTTAGCCTGGCCAGGAGCTGATCCAAGCTCTGACTTCAGCTCTTATGCACTAAGGCAGCGTTCAGACTTGTAGCGTCTACAAACCTGTAGGCGCTACGATCGTCGCGCTACAGCGATCGCGCTACGCAGTTGTAGCGCGACGATCGTAGCGCCTACAATGTCGCGCTAACAGCTTGCAGGCGCTACAAGTCTGAACGCTGCCTAACCGCGTGCGCGCCATCAACCCCATTTGCCACTAGACTACTTCTTCGAGCTCACTGTCAACAGAAATCGTTCTGATGTCCAGAATCTGTAGTTTCTTTCTTTCATACGTTGCATAGCTCTTGAATCGACCAAGAGGGCCATACTACTTGCACCTCCATATTGGGTGACAACCAAGTTTGGAATCTGTCCTTACTGTTACTTTATGCTCACGTTTCACTTCAAAGCGATAAGCGTCCGTGAATATTAGAGGTCATATCAGAGCTTCCTCACATGAATATCTCCAGTCCTCTGCTCTTCTCTATAGTATGCATTTTTGGAGGAGCGATGTCTGTTTTGCTTTGTCCTTCTGGCAGACTGGCTATCAGAACGGCGCCTACAGAGAACGACGTCATTCACCTCACCAGAATGACGGCATTCAGGAGTTGGGAAGACTTGGTCTTTCCCGGATTCATCAACCCTTCAGCAAATGCCAACCTATTGTGCTCCAAAAGAACGCAAGATACGCTAGCGAATCCCTCCAGACGCTCTACTCAGCTATTCCAGAAAAATTGCTTTTAAAGTAGCTGCAGTGAGATGACTTATGACCTTCAGTTACAATGGTCAATTAGAGTAACTAACTAATGCAGTTCAAAGGATGGGATCGAAGAGAGCAAAAGTGTCATTATCCCGCACAGAGCGCTAACAAACAACTCGAAAGAGTCCAATATAGTAGTAATGTATGATTACAATAAATTCTTTGTAATTAGATATCATATATCCAAGCGGCCGAGTTGGGTTGAGACAAGGTGCCTCATTTTTCCAACTGGACAAAGATGTTCTCTCAATCACCATTTCGTTTTACTGATCACGCTTGGTGAGGGGGTCTTTTTTTTCATTTTCTGCAATTTAGGAGTGGGAAATTGTTTTGTTTCAAGATTCGAGGTTCTTGCCCATCGAGATTCTATCCAGTTGCCGTCCGTCCCCATCGAGTTTTTTTTAAATGCTGAACCTTGACGAAGCGATGACGGGTTTTCAGAAGTTTACTGTAGCTACCAAATGACCATGCTACAGCTCCCATAGTCTACGATTCTGTCACTTGCCCTACTAGTCTCAGAAGGAAAGGTGGATGCTGGTCCAGTCCAAATTTCTTCAACTGTAAACGAGTTGTTGACTATTAATACGCCCATCAAGTCGAAATACTCGGTGTCCCGCTTTACTGCTGCAGTCACAAAGGAAGGTCATTTTGTTTTTTCGTTTTGGCCGTTTGACGGGAAAATTTTTTGCAAATACACTCCATTGCACAAGCTCTGCATTAGTAGACGCGCCCCCCCCCCTTTTGGGCATCCACCATTCCACCTAGTATCTTCCTGCATTTCCCCAGCTTCCTAGTACTTTCCAGAGTTCTTACCCAAATCCCTTCACTTCTTCTCCAAAAGCTGCGTTGAGCGAAAGTTTAACGCAGGAAAGGGACCAAATAGGGTCTTCCTTGCTAAAGATCCCCACAAACGACGTGCACTGATCACAAAATGGCCAAATACACTATCACATTTAGCCAAGGCCGTTAACAATAATAATGGTAGTATCATGCTCTATCCCCATAGTCTGTACACGCTATTCCCATTTTCCCTCAAGCCATCGTTCATCTTTCTTTCGCCTCTGGCTGAGCCCATTACTATTCTAAGCCTTTCAACACCTCACAACAGCCATTTTTCTCCCCATATGTTAGTTGCTCTTCTTAACTGCCACGCCAATGGTGCATGACATCAACAATGGCTCTTTTGCGTTTTCAACAAGCAAGCAGAAACGACTATAGGTTGCATTCTTTCAGTGAACGGATGCATCAGAGCCCCTTCACACTTAAGAAAAAATTTCTATTCAAATTAGTCTAAAATGCATATTTTTTTTTTTTTTTTTTTTTTTTGTTTTATTTTACGATTAGCTGGACATAGTACAGTCCGGGTCAAGATTGCGGCGAAAAGTCCTAGGTTTGGTTGCAATGGAGAAGGAGGTCCCACTCAACCTGATAAAAGATTTTCTGATTATTGGTTCTTGATTTTCTGCTTTCCCCGTTTTTCAACCCTCCCGTAAAGCCCCTTTATAAACCCGTAAACAAGCCTAGTCGATGGTACGGTAATACTACTGTTTCTATGTCTAACATTCCTTTCCCTGCCCTTTGATGGATGCTGATGGTGTGTGGGTGGAAGAATCCACTGTGACGCTTAACCCCTGTGTACAACCCCTTTCTCATTCAAGAGGGACTGATCCGCGATGGGGCACAGTCGCCATCCGGGCAGTTGATTAGGCGGCCAAAGGGTCACGATACGGCTGCGGCTCGTCACGACCGCGGCGGTCAACTGTTTCCAGCTGGTTAAGCTGTTTTCTACCCAATTTTCACAGTGTTTTTAGTTTAAGTCAGCTATCATAACAAACAGCTTCAAAACTGTGTTTTTCCATTTTTTTTCAAGGTAAGTTGTTATTGCCTTTATGAAGTGAACTTAAGATTTCGTTATCTGGGTGATGAAACGTGTTCTGTGCGAATTTTTTAGGTATCTTGCTCAACTGTTTGTTTAATTGTTTTAAATTGTTCTCCAATAAATTTAGAGAATCTCTAATCTAGCCTCGTGAAGACAAGGAACACTCAAGAAAAGCAGCCAAAAACAGTGAAAATTAGGGAGGAAATGGCTAAACCAGACTGGAAACAGCTTACCGCCGCGGTTGTGATGCGCCGCAGCCGCGTCGCGACCCATTTGGCCGCCTGGTCAAGTGCCCGGATGACGTTTGTGCAATTTCGCGACTCACGTGCATTCGTGTTCGTGTCACATTTGTCCACATCCCTTACTTGGAGATACGTCCCTCGGACCGTAAGCGCTCTTTAGCAAGTGAAGGCCAGGGTCAACTGCGATTGAAAAAAAATGGATGAGAGCTTTTCCAATAGTTCTCTACAATTTCTTTCGGTTTCTTTCTTTGGGGGAGGCAAGTTAGCCTCTACTCCATGCTCGACCTCCGATCGCAGCTATGCCATTGTGGATTATCATCGTGGCAGACAACTCCATTTTTGTGGGATTAGTAGGTTATAAGGATGGTGAGCCATCAATT